TCTACCTTTTGCAAGGGGTTCTACCAATATCTGTATATAGCGCCCATATAACGGTACCGACTTATATTCCTAATTATTTACGGTTTAGGCCACATTTTCTATCGGATCTATTTAAAATTCGGTATTTGAACGTTCGATATTCGATATTCCACATAATTGTTACACATGTGGTATTTAACACTTACAAAACATAACAAACCTATATGGGTTTTTCGTTTTGATATGGCCCCCATATAACGGTTCAACCAACTTTATTATTTATAGAATACGTTATAGAATACTCTTTAGCTAATGGTTAAATACCCTCGAAAGTTTTTCATTCATTTTCTATGCAGTAATGTCAACTTTCGAACGACTTTGACTTCTAAATTTGAAATAAATAGTTATCCAAATCCGAAAGTAGAGTATGATTATACTATACTTGGATATGTAGGAAAGTAGGAAATGGGTTTGCGAATTCGAGTTAGTTGGTAGGAAAATTCTCATCCGAAATATTTTACTTTCCAATCGAGTTACATAGTAACCCCTCAGCATTTTTACATTAATATGTCAAGCAAAAATAAAATAATCTTTTAACGTTTTTCTGTACAACTCCATAATAATGGGATTTTCTACACTTTCATTTGGCATATCTTCTGTTGGACGTTTTTATATGGAGCTATCCCAGAGCTTTTTAATGGAATCAACAACAGGGGTATGAACGTGAAAAATTTCATCCATAGTCCAGTTACTACATCTTTTCGATAGATAAAAAAGTGATCATGATAGGAGAATATAGGTGGATGCATCAACGCTTGGTCAAAATTATTTAAATGTTTATTAAAAATAAGTATATTTTTATTTGTTTTCTTATACTATGCAAATCGGTGGTTGTTATAATATGCATTTTTCAACAATTTTTACAAATTTCAATATTTTTTCAACATTTTCAATTCAAAAGACAGTTTGACAGTTCATTGTCCCAGCAGCTGTGTCGATGCGACTACCTGTATTCTTCTACCATGCAAGTGATGTTGTCGGACACATAAATCGTTTTTCGTTATTACAAGTTGTATTTAAGTATGAACTGTTAGATAAGCAAAAGGTTAGGCTATCTTCCATCTTTTAACGTAAAGTTTACTGAATTCATGTTGCCATGTTCTATATTGATAATATGACAATAACAGCAAAATTTATTTAAGTTAATAATGGATAACGCAAATCGTTCATTTTATATTGAAGAACTGATTATAAATTTCTTTCACAAAACCAATTACAAATTCGCTTTGTTTAGTACTATTAAATTAAAATTATGATGCCATTGTGAACAAAATGTGGTGACTACCAGTACAAAAAGCTTGCCATATCTCCATAAAAATGCATATTTTTAAACATGGTAGAAGAATATAGGTAGACGCATCGGCACAGCTGCTGGGACATTGAACTGTCAAACCAATTTTAGAATTGAAAATTTTGAATGAAAATTATTTAAATTTGTAAAAATTGTTGAAAAACGCGAATTATAATAACCTCCGAATTACGTCGTATAAGAAAACATATAAAAATCTATTTATATTTGAAAAAAAAAAATTTGACATATCAATGTAATAAAGAGTGCCCGATAATGTGAACTTTTCCCAAAGTAAGGGATAACAAAAGTGGACTATAAAGGAAAAGTATAAGAACGGGCCATAATTTTATAAATTAATTTTGTTTTTAAATCGGTTGGAGGTTTATGTTCTTAGTCACCCTGTAAATCTCGACAAATCTTTGTTATCAAAAGTAAGTATCGTTGCTTTCACTCAAGTAATTTTGAGTACACGATTAAAAATCAAAGTATTGGAAAATTTGTTCCACAAAAATTCATATGATTTGGATAATATTTTATAAGGGTCATTTCAGAAAAGCATTCCCATCTCTGCATTTTCTATAATTTACCTTGTCAAATTTCCTTGCATAGAAAACTGGTTCACATCTCTGATTTGTGTATGTACCATGATAGAAGAATACAGGTAGTCGCATTGACACAGCTGCTGGGACAATGAACTGCCAAACCAAATAGAAATTGGAAACTTTGAATAAAAAATTATTCACATTTGAAACAATTCTGATTCTCTGATTGGTGTTTTATAAGAAAACTTACAAAAATTTACTTATTTTTGAAAAAAAAAAAACTTTTTATTTTTTAACGTATCAATGTTCCTATGCGTTGATGCATCTACCTTAAAAAATTATATAGTTTGGATCATGTTTTTAAAAAAATCCAGACATTTCATTCATTTTAAAAATGAGTAAAAATATAAAATAATTGAGAAACAACTTGTTGAGTATAATTTTGAATAATTCTGAAAGAAAGCGGGTATTGCCTCAGGGCTGTATTTCTGTTGTTTTGCGAAGCTGCTCTACCTCCTTATTGCATCAGGGCCAATTGATCTATAAATAAATATTTTAGCAATGAGATGTCGTCAAATGATTAATTTTGCAAAAAAGTTGTAATCATATGACTGCATGGCTTCATCTTTAATTTGGCATTCACAGTTTTTTTGACATTTTTATGTGGAGGCTCTAGCCAAATTTCTGTCATGGCCATAAGAAAATTGGAGAGTTTTGTTCTTTAAAAAAGTAATTTGGAGAACATTTTATATGTTAAAATCCATGTAAGGGCTTCCTCTTTGATGTGGCATTCACAGTTATTTCGACGTTTTTATATGGAAGCTTCTAGAGCCTCCGTCCTGACACCAGCAGGATATCAGAATATTGGAAATGTTTTCCTGTTGCACAGTTGGAAAGAGGTATTAAATGGGAAATTACGATGTTTTAGTTCACCCTGTAGTTTTGGGAACAGTTGAAAAAAGGATTAAACGTGAAATATCGATGTTCTGAGTCACCCTGTAACGTTGCTGAAGGTGAGAATATATAAAACGCTTCTCTGGCTGGCTTCTTCGTAGAAGAACAAGGGAGTCTTAAGCTGCAAGTACATAAGAAGCTTGAAGTCATGGCTAGGTATATTATGTGACACAAAGAGAGTACAGAGTCGCAATAAAATCCTGCCGTCGCTGTCCATTATAACTTGACATTAATTTGCCTAGCCTTGACTTCAAGTTTTTAATGTACTTGCACCCTTAGGTTGACTTAGTTCGATTATGGCCATACACTCCTTTGTAATTTTCCAAAGAAGCCAGCCGATGACTTAAGCCAGTCACAAAAGCTCTTTATTTAGTTGTGTTACAGAACCTGCAAATTAGTACTAATTAGCACTAATTCTGCTACAACGCGTTCCCGTACTCCAAAAACTAGCAAAACTTGCAGCTCTCTCGAGAAAAAAAATGGCGCTGAGTGGTGCACATTTCTGCTTGTTTTAGCTACATGAATTTGGCCGAGCAGAAATGTGCATATTGTAAATTTGACATTTAATTGGCAGGGCTAACAAGGTTGAAAATGTATTGATACATTTCAATAAAGAAAATGATCAACTTGAAAACTAAAGGAAAAACTAATATTTGTCGTGCAAAAAACAAAAAGAGAAAATATGGAGCAACTGATGTATTCACATTTGGATGATTCCAGCAGTGAAGAGGACTGGCTGAATGAGGAATCAGATTATTAATTATTATTATAAATTATTAATTTTAACTTATCGTCTTCAATACTCATTTTTTAAATTTTGGCGCTCTTTTCAGTAAGGTTTCACCAGTTCGATTTAGGCTGTTTACTTTTGGAATTTTGAATTTTGACATTTTATCGCATTTCTGCTTATTTTCCGTTCCCTTATTTTTTGAGCAAACCTAAATGAGAATGACATTTCGAACTGTTCTCTCTTCTGCTAGTTTTACTACTAAAAAAGTACTGGAACACAACTTGTGCTTGCAGCCAAACTTCACGCAGGTTATGCTAAGTTCACATTGCACTTGATTCGCTCTCTATTCGTTGTTCGACTATTAACTATGAAATATCTACTTGAATTCCTACACAAAACTTCTGAGCGAACAAAATTTTTGGTTCTTTGTTCCATTTAAATCAAATCACTCTCAGAACTACGATGCCATCCCAAACAAATGAGAGAATTTATCGAAAAAATATATTATGAAATTTCAACATTCAAAATAAAACCAACGGTGTCATCGATAAAGAAAGTCTCAATAAATTAGGGTACCAAGTTCACATGCTACATACTAGATTTTCTGAACGAACAACAATTTTTCTTCCTTTTTGCATTAAAATTAATCTCAGACCTATGATGAGTTGCGTACCACGTATGAGAACAATTAAACAAAAAATGAATGATGACATTCAAAAATGCAAAACAAAAAATTTGATGACATTTTCACCTGGTAGAAGAATACAGGTAGATTCATCTTACACGACAGATATCGGAGGCTTCCATAATAAGAACTTTTCAACATTTTTTAAAAATTTCAATAATTTTTTTTAAAAATGGTTCGGAAACTTTTTTGCGGTTAAGGAACAGTGACGCCACGTTAGATAATATATTCGTATATTTCATGTTTCCTAAAATTGCAAAATGTAAAATACTTTATATATTTATGCTGTTTGGTTTCAACTTGAAAGGGACGATTTTCTAGCGATTGCTTGAAGTGTTGAGAGATTAGGACCAACAGCTAAAAACTAAACATTCAGGGGAATGTTGTGAAAGCAATACAATTAAATATTTTAAGGACTATTCTTCTGCGTTATCAATTTAATAATTCAAATTCCCAAAATGTATACTTTTGAACTTAAAATAATTTATTGAAAATTAATTATTTTGTTTTCATTTTTAGACACTTAACTCTGACACATGTATTACCTACAAAAACAAATTTGTATGTGGTTGTTGTTACGATTGTTATACAACAACACTTGCTGTTACCTGTATTATTCTACCATTGTATGTACACGACAATTTTGAGAACGAATAAAGCCGTTCAAATTGCAATAAGACCATGGTATATCTATCTGCCGTAGAATGGGCACGGGCACAGCTGTGGCGTTGTCGATAGTAATACCATCGATTATATTCTCGCATCAAATGTAGCGAGTATTTGGTATTCCCAATCGCATTGACATGTGCAAATAAAAATCTTTGGTTTTGTTAATAATTAGACAATCTGCCCTCGGTTTACTTTAAAAATGCTTGACTTTGTGGAAGTTGTATGCCGTATTGGTACATATTGCAGAAAAGTGGAAAGAGTTGGTCCCGCCTATTTAAATTCGAAGAAAAAGCAACAAAGTGATCACATCGAAAGGAGTGAATCTGATGAAAAACTTTTGAACGACGATTTTGAGGTAGATGTTAATTACTTGAAGTCTTTAGACCCGAAGGAGTGGAAGAACCAGGACCATTACAAGATTTTAGGACTCGAAAAGTTGCGGTAATTCAGAAATTTAAATAAAATTCTCAGTTTCTTAATTTTCCCATCAATTTTCGCAGATTTGATGCTACTGATGATGATATACGCCGAGCTTACCGAAGGATGGTCTTACAACATCATCCTGATAAACGCAAAGCTAAAGGCGAAGAAATAAAAACAGATGATGACTATTTTACATGCATTACAAAGGCTTATGAAACCCTAGGTATGTAGCACACACACTAATGGAGCACACACTATATAGTAATCAATGCTGCATGTCTGAATCCAAAGGTACCCCTAAAACGAGGCGTTCATTTGATTCGGTTGACCCTGAATTTGACGATTCTTTGCCCACTCAGGCCGAAATCGAAAGTAGCTTCTTCGAGATATTCAAAAAATACTTCGATTTAAACGCAAGATGGAGTGAAAAAAAGAGTGTTCCACCTTTCGGTGACATGAATTCAACTAGGGAAGACGTTGAACGTTTCTACAGTTTTTGGTACGACTTCAAGTCATGGCGTGAATTTAGTTATTTGGATGAAGAAGATAAAGAAAAAGGGCAAGATAGAGATGAACGCCGCTGGATTGAAAAAGAAAACAAAGTGGCTCGTATTAAGAGGAAGAAGGAAGAAATGATGAGAATTCGGGCTTTAGTGGATTTAGCATACAATAATGACAAACGAATTCAAAAATTTAAAAATGAAGAGAAAGAAAGAAAACTTGCCGCAAAGCGAGCGAAAATGGATGCAGTACAGGCACAAAAAGCTGAACAAGAGCGTGCGGTGCGAGAGGCACAGTTAGCCAAAGAACGTGCTGAAAAGGCCGAACAGAAAAGAATAGAGCAGATAAGAATCGAAAGAGAACAGGCGAAAAAGGCTATTAAAAAGGAAAGAAAACTTCTCCGAGATAAAGCTAAAGAAAACAATTACTTTGGAAATAATGATAAAGATGTTCTTAAGAATATGGAGGGTGTTGAAAAGATATGTGAAACTTTTTCACTGACTGAACTCCAGGAATTAAACAAAAAGATGGAAAATTTAGCAAAAGACTCTTTTTTCTTAGCACTCAAAAAGGCCGATCTTAAAATTAAAGCCGAACTTGAAGAAGTAAACCAAACGCAAAATAAGTGCAAATCAGCTACGAAGTCGGAACCAGTAATTAAGGAAGTTAAAAAAACGGAACTTTGGAGCAATGAAAACGTGCAGCTTCTCATAAAAGCTGTAAACCTTTTCCCTGCAGGAACGTCACAACGTTGGGATGTTATTGCTTCATTTATAAATCAACATTCAACTGGGGAAGCTAATATAACGGCCCGCGATGTCCTCAACAAAGCTAAGGCGTTGCAACATAGCGATTTTTCAAAGAACACACTCAAAACACAAGCTAATGCTACGGCTTTTGAAAATTTTGAAAAATCTAAGAAGGAAGTTGTAACGTCTTCAGACATTACTGTCAATACGGAAATATCTTCTGAAATCGCAGGCAATAGTGAATCCAAAGAAAATCACACTAATGGAAATATTCCGGCCTCCACAGCAGGTAACACAAAATCGTCAAAAACAGCATTAAAGGCGTGGACAAAGGAAGAACAAGCTTTATTGGAACAAGCCATAAAAACGTACCCAATATCAACGCCAGACCGTTGGGATCGGATTGCAGAATGTATTCCTAATAGATCTAAAAAGGATTGCCTCCGCAGGGTTAAAGAATTAGTCGAACTTGTGAACTCTAAAAAAGAAGCTCAGCAGTTGGTCAAATGAATTTGAAATTTTGTGAACTTAAGCATCCTAGTTTTAATTAAATAAAATCTTTGGCAATTAAAAACAACATATTATTTTTGTCATTTAAGATATTATTTATTTAATATATGGTCCATTACTAATCCTGTTGGTGATGTAAAACTGCACTGTGATCAACTTTATGTTTGTTGTGAACTCTTTAAATTTCCATTTATTTTAAGATCGAATACTTCCAGGTTGCATAGTGGATCCAGGTCGGCAAACAGCTCAATCCATGTTTTTTGTTTTGCGCTTTTTATAGAGTTTAAATTATCTGATACAGAAATATTAGTTTTTGTGTCCACTTGTTTTTTTTTTTTAGTTTATGTGCCATAGATATTTTTGAGCTCCTAGCATTTTGTCCTAACGAATTTATTTGTTTCTGATCGGTTGCTTTGTTGTCATCGCTAAGTTGTGAGCTAAAGTTGTTGTCAATGCCGCATAAATCCAGAAGTCTATCGTTATTGCTGAGTTCAATTAAGGGAGTGTGGTTTTGTTCATTGGCATTCGTGCCCTTTTGAATATCCAATTTTTTGGGAATGCTCTCTTCGGTGTTTAAATCTGCATAATCGGACTGTAAAAGATAAAAAACGGAATTACAATTCAGAATCAAATGTTAGAATTATAATATACTATTCATGATAAAAACGTTTGAGGCACCTTCATAAGTAATGCTTTTTGTAGCTTTTTACAATTTTTCCTACCAAAAAGTACACATTCTAAATGTTCGAACCATTTGTTGACACGATACCAAACATTTGGTTTGGACAAGGATTATTATACCCTCTACCTTGAAAAGGGGGTATATTAACTTTGACATTTCCTTTGTAACATCCCTAAATATTCGTCGCACACCCCATAAAGTATATATTCATATTCAGCATACAATTCTAAGTGAATTTGGAGCAAGTTGAGTTTAGGGGCTGTGCTCTGATCATTTTGAAATTTTTACCACAGGTAGGTATTTTTAAACTGATTACGGCAATATAAATTTTTTGTGGGGGAAATAACCGGTTACCCGGTTATTGGACCCGAAAGTTCAGATACAATGTTCGGTTTTTATCCGGTTCCACTGAACCGATACAAACAAAATGGGTATCATTGGAAAGCTTATGAAAATACCTATCCAACAAGTGGTCACATGAACCGGTTACAAGAACCGGTTCCAGAGTAATGCAAGAAAATTGATATTTTTTACCAGTACTTTTTGAAAAACCCATAAAAACTCAAAAATGGACCCATTATAAGGTATTAAAATCTACATACCGTATTATAGCCAACAATATTGCCTTTCCAAAATGGTATCATACATGTTGATATCTTTTGTAGTTCCGAAGATATTAGTGATAGAAGTCATTAATTTGCAATTTTTTCTCCAGTCAAATGTATCTAACCTCTATAGCATTTTTAAACAGCCGGCCTTCGGCCGGGGCTTGAGATTTTCTCCTCTGGGGTATGTCCAACACCGGCTACGCGATCGCTAATTTTTCTAAAAATTGTAATTTTTGTAAGTAGCCGGCCTTCGGCCGGGGCTTAAGATTTTCTCCTCTGGGGTATGTCCAACACCGGCTACGCGATCAATAGTTTCCTAAAAACTGTAGTTTTCGAAAGTAGCCGGCCTTCGGCCGGGGCTTAAGATTTTCTCCTCTGGGGTATGTCCAACACCGGCTACGCGATCCATAGTTTTTCTAAAAATTGTAATTTTTGTAAGTAGCCGGCCTTCGGCCGGGGCTTAAGATTTTCTCCTCTGGGATATGTCCAACACCGACTACGCGATCCATAATATTCTAACAACACCAAATTAAAAACAAAGCAGATTAACAAGAACGTTAAACCCGACATAAAACTTGGCTTCACTCATACTACTTTCATAAGTAACAACTTTAAAAGCCAATATCTTCGGAATTACAAAAGATATCAACACATATGACACCATTTTGGAAAGGCAATAGTGTTAGCTATAATATTGTGTATAGATTTTAAGACCCTATAATGGGTCAATTTTCGAGTTTTTATGGGTTTTTCAAAAAGTACTGGTAAAAAATATCAATTTTCTTGCATTACTCTGGAACCGGTTCTTGTAACCGGTTCATGTGACCACTTGTTGGATAGGTATTTTCATAAGCTTTCCAATGATACCCATTTTGTTTGTATCGGTTCAGTGGAACCGGATAAAAACCGAACATTGTATCTGAACTTTCGGGTCCAATAACCGGGTAACCGGTTATTTCCCCCACAAAAAATTTATATTGCCGTAATCAGTTTAAAAATACCTACCTGTAGTATAAATTTCAAGTCAATCCGAGCACAGCCCCTAAACTCAACTTATGCCGTGAATTTAACGCTATCCGTCTGTCTGTTGAAATCACGATACAGCCCACATTATTTGACGTAGGTGTTGCCGTCATACATTTGGTATTTTGATGATTTTCGCCACATTTTTCACAGATTATATTTGCAGTTCCTAATGGATTCTAGCTCCGGTGGTGGAACATTGAATATCTAGTTTCACGTTTTCCTATATCGCATGTTTAACGGTACCTACCGATATTTGGTATTATGATAATCCTAGCCACATTTACCCACGAAATTGTTTCAAATTTGGTATTTAAGACTATCAATCCTCATAGTGTAATATTTTTTATATAGGTACTCGTTTTGGTATGTGTTCCATTTAACGGCCTCACTCACATTATATATTTTTAAAAAGATTAACTGCAATTTTCAAACGGTCTTACTCATGGTACAATGAATACAAGGCAGGCTAACTTTGAAAAAATTACAAGTGTAGAGGTCTACCTGTTTGGCTTGTAATGTCAGAATTGCTATCAAAACAATAAAAAAGCAAACATTGATTTTGAATAAATAATTTAAAACCGCGAAAACTGAATGAAAATCAAAATTTCTTTTCAAAATCATGTACTATATATCTCTTATAGTTTATTTCGCGACAAAAACTGTAGATTTTGTCGATGCATACGTCGCAATAAGCATTTTGAAAACACCCAAATTTGAATATTTTCTGAACAATTTTTTTTATTATTGAAAAGAATACACACACATGAACAAATTAAGTTGACATATTAAGCCAGGAAAATAAAAAAATTAAAATCATATGGTAGTTCTGCCCTACCTTAAATTCATTGTACCATGGTCTTACTGGTATTTGTAGTTTAAAGTGGAACACATTAAAAGGTGTTCTAGCGCAAGCAATTAGCTTTAATGACAATGTTTAAAACAGTTGAAATAAATTGTAAAATTTTATGAAAAATGCAATTTTAATTTTCTCTTAAGCAATCTCTTTATGCGAATTTGCTCAGCTCTGGCTATAGTGATACATGTGACTACTGGAAAAATCTGTAAAATAAAGCAAGATTCGATTAATCTGGTTGAAATAATTTTAGCAGTTCCACCATCCATCCTTTTTATCTATTTCCATATGATGAAAATATATATTTTTATCTAATGTACAGAAACAGGTGTCTACATAGGTTCTAACATCTTTCATTTTTTTCTTACTACCTGGTGTATTTCATTGGACTTTTAAACAACGTCATTCTACCTGTTCAAAAAAATATGAACGCACACGGCGAATGAATGTGCAACATAAAATAAAGTGTTTTTTATCGATCGCGAACGATTAAAAATACGATGGCTCATATATCTCATAAAAATATGTACAGGGTTGCCCATATTCGACGGACCCACCTGGCAACGCCATAACTTTTGACAGAGATGTCACATCGCTTAATGACATACCGCGTTTGAAGCGTCAGTCCAAGCAGATTTTTACCATGAACCAATACACGCCACGCGAGCGCTCTGAAATAGTTGAAATTTACATTCAACAGAAGAAGTCAATTGTGAAAACTCAAGTGCTTTTAAAACATTAAAAAATGTGAGAAGTGCGCCTTCTAAGAACACCATTAAGCGTTTATACGAACAATTTTCGACTGGTAAGGCTCTATCTAATCCGAAGAGGCCATATAAAAGTCGACCAAGGCGATCGGCCGACAATATCGCTGCCGTACGAGCCAGTGTTGAGAGGTCCCCAAGAACATCCCAACGGTCCACTTTACAACGGATTATTTGCATTGATTTGCATTTGTTCCCGTACAAAATTCAATTGACGCAAAAATGTTGCCTGCGGACAAGCCTCGTCGATTGGAATGGGCCCAAAGGGCCCAAAGGTCCGTCGAATATGGGCAACCCGTAGTGTTTTTGCAGATTTAAGAAGGTTTTTCATAGTATGAATTATTTCTTCTGGCTTAACTCAATTTTGTTATTTGTTGCTGGTATGAAAATTAAAAAAAATTGGAGAATCTAAATCCGTTGAGCCATACAGAGACCTACGTTATGGGTTATTTTATATTGGCATTTTTTTAGTTTTTATCCACTGAGAAATAAAAAGCCAAATAATAAGTTTGTAAAAAACTCTGTCTGAAACTCTCGTCAATATAAACTCTAAATGTCAAGTTACACATGATTTGGTTTCAAATTGTAGTCAATACATTAAAAAATACCGAAAATCAGGAAGTAACGCTATAGGGGGCCTTGCCGAAACGTGGACCGATATGTTCCATTTTTAATACAAAACATGCTAGGGATAATATAAATGTATGAGCAAAATTTCAAAGCGATAGAATGCTTCCCTCAATTAACCTCCATTTTTTGGGGATCTGACCCCACTGTGAGACAGTTAGGTAGAGTAGAGCAGTAATTGTGGAGCAATAAATACATTAGAAATATAAAATGAAGTTCAAATTCAAATTTGTGGGTAGATATCTGACTCAATATAAAAAAGTTTTAACTCTTAATTACAAAAATATACTGAGACAAAAAAATATTTTATTAGTATCTTCATAAATTTTTGTCATAAAACAGTAGTCAAATTTAAAATTGGAAATATAAAATTAAATTTTATTGAAGTAAAAAATTTTGATATAACTTCGTATTAAGTTTTACCTTTTTAGGTAAAATGTATAGCATTGTTTCAATAATCCAAATTAAAAACCAAACATAGTTTTTTATTAGACAAAATGTCAGGGCATTTATTTGTACTAAGGACTCACAGCGCAATCGTAAAACAGGTAGAATTGGTTTCTTGTCTTCATTATGTGTATGGCCTTTTACGTTTGTGCAAAATACATTGTACATACTTTTGAGTGCGGTTGAGGAGCTGGGAAAATCTAGCATTACACAATAAATGTTCTAAAATTACATATTTCTTAGCCGTCATAAAATACCACATGCGAACAAGTCGATGATCTTGTGCGATGACGCATACGATAATGTGTGAGATAATAAAGGTTATGACCCACACGCACATCGATGCGCTCAGTAGATGTACAAGACCACTTGAATGAAATGACAAGCTGCCCTGCAATGTTCTCCATTCAATATTAGAAAGATAAGAATAATTGTTTGGCTGCGATTAAGCTAAGTTAGATTAGTTTCAGTAGTTTTTAAGAAACATATTTTTGAATATTTTTTCTTTTTTTTCTTTTCTCGCTTACATTTGGTCCTTCGAGCCGGATACAGAATGGAAACTACATCCAAAGAAAAAGGATTGTT